TGGAAGTTTTTAAGAAGAGACTGGACAGCCGTTTGTCTGAAATGGTGTAGGGTTCCTGCCTGGGCAGGGGGTTGGACTCGATGACCTCCAAGGTCCCTTCCAACTTTATTATTATTATTATTATTATTATTATTATTATTATTATTATTATTATTATTATTATTATTATTATTATTATTATTATTATTATTATATAAGTAACGTATAAATATTAATCGCTGTCCATCTTGAATACATAACGAAAGGAGGAAGCTTTAGAGTTCACAAGACTAATACTGTATGGAACAAAACTATGACTGAATTTGGATGTTCTGCTTTGGATACCACGAAGCCCCCTCCTCCCAGAAGGGAACAAGGAAAACAGGTCGTGAAGAAGATGTGTAGCGTCCCAGACAATCTTGCAGACCCTGCTCAAGCATCTTTTATATGTTATGTCCTGGATGGAGGGGAGAGAACTGCCAATAATCCTTTCTGCCATCCTCACCACTCTCTGCACCTCCTTCCTGTCTGAAGCAGTGATGCTTCCAAACCAGACAGTAATGCAATAGGATACGACATTGTCGATTGTCCCTCTATAGGAAGTGGTAAGGATAGGGGAAGGAATAAGGTTGTTTTCCTTACAAAAAACTCTTCTGTCTCCTCCAAATCTAGGTCCCAAAAACAGATGATGATGACTTCCAAGAATTCCAAGATGCGTCCAAGTCAGGGGGACTGGATGATACTTTTACGGATTTTCAAGGGGAAGTGCCTGGATCCAACAAAATGTTAGCAGCACAGCAGCGGAGCAGGTACAGGGATTTGACACTCTCATATCATTATTCGTTTTTGCATAACACTTTTTTAGTAAAGGCAAGAAGATACAGACCAGGCCAGGATTTCTCAGCCACAACAACTTTAGGATGCATGGACTTGAATTCCCAGAATCCCCCAGTCAGCACGGCACACATCCTAAAGTTGCTAAGATTGAGAAACACTGGACCAGGTTGCCGTTTTCAGTTGCTCTTATGCCATGTGCAGCATTCTCAGCTAATCAGAAGGATGGTAGCAGTTAGTTTTGGGTCAGTACAGGTAGTCCTCAACTTACAGCCACAGTTGAGCCCAGAATTCCTGTTGCTAAGCGAGACAGTTGTTAAGTGAGTTCTGCCCCATTTTACGACCTTTATTGCCACAGTTGTTAAGGGAATCGCTGCAGCTATTAAGTTAGTAACAAAGTTGTTAAGTGAATCTTGCTTCCCCATTCACTTTGCTCGTCAGAAAGTCGCAAAAGAGGGTCACATTATCCCAGGACACTGCAACCCATCATAGGTATGAGTCAGTTGCCAAGCATCCAGATTTTGATCACGTGACCATGGGGATGCTGCAACGGTTGTAAGGGTGAAAAACAATCCTAAGTCACTTTTTTCAGTGGTGCTGTAACTTCCAGCTGTCACTAAATGAATTGTTGTAAGTCGAGGACCTACCTGTATAGAGACTGCCTTGCAAACTAATCTATGGTTGCTTGCAGTCCACCATTTACATACCATACTAGTCACTTGCTATGTACTAATGCAGAGGTCCACAACCTTTTGGACACCAGGGACCGGTTCTGTGGAGAGAGGTTTTTCCACGGACCGGAGAGTGTGTGGTTTTTGTGATGCCTGCATCCCATGAATGGGGCTTTGTTTGTTTATATGGACCGGTTGCTGGCATGCTGCGGCCCGGTACTGATCCACAGCCCGGGGGTTGGGGACCCCTGTATTAATGCCCACTCAGATGATTAGGAGAAGGAATGACAGCCCCCACTGATTTATTGTTTCGATGAATGTTTGGTGGTGGTGGTGGTAGAAACAACTCAAAAAGCTGCCAGTTTACACCAATTCCAGTGGTAGGAACAACTCCGTTTACACCAATTCCAATCAGAAGGCTTCTGTAAACCATTAAAAGGATCTTCAAAAATTGCATGCATCCATCTTAAACTAGTGTTAAGCCTAAATTGAGGAGACAGGAGGCTTTTCCAGAAAGATTTATGCTAAGTCCAGAACGCAAGGCTTAGCAATTATGCTTTCCATTGCTCAACTAACAGGTGACAAAGGATATAATTCTATTCAGTGTGGAATACAGACAGTCCTCAACTGGGATCAGAATTTCCTTTGCTAAGCAATGTGATTCTTAAATGAATCACACCTGATTTTATGCTCTTTCTTCCATGGTTGTTAAGCAAATCATTGCAGTTGTTAAATGAATCATACAGTTGTCAATGGGCTTCCCCCATTGACTTTGCTTATTGGAAGCCAGTCGCAAATAGCGATCACATGATCCCGGAACATTTCAGCTGTCATAAATGTTGATTGCTAAGCACCTGAATTTTCATCATGTGACCATGCGGATGCTGCAACAGTCATAAGTGTGAGGACTGGCCATTAGTCACATTTTTTTCAGTATTGTTGTAACCTCAAACGGTCACTAAAAAAATAAACAGTTTTAAGTTGAGGACTACCTGTACTTCATTTCATCTCTCTCCTATCCTGCCTTCCCTCACTTGTTATTCTCAAGCTAACTAACAAAATTGAGTAAAATAATACGCAGCTAAATATTTCAACAACACAGAATAAGAATAAGAAAAGCATCTAAAGGAGCATCAAAAATAACAGTGGTACATTGCAGGTGCTAAAAGGATTTAAAAGGCCTGAGGAAATAAAAAAACAAGGGAGAAAAATGAAAAATGTTCTGCTGCTGTTTAACTAATGTTTAAAGCAAATGTTAAGTGCTCATCTCTAAGTTTAGTAAATTGATGATGCTGATGATTTTAAAAGCCTCAATAATATCGTCATCGTCATGATCATGATCATTATAGAAAATAACTGTATTGAGCTGAAGGGCAGTCTAAATCAAATTAGTTGATATGTTTGTCAGAATTGGGGGAAAAAGAAAGTGTTTCATCTGGAACTGGTTCTAATCAATCTTTTTCTCAGGGTTCATGTAATTGTTTAGCAAGATGAATTGCTTAAAAGGCTTTTCTTTGGGAGCGCTCCACGGAGGCCTGACCAGTGATTAACGGTTTGATCCATGATAAAATAACAAGTTTAGGGATATGAGTCATATTTCCATAAGTGCCTTCAAGTTTAGTCATGGCAATTAGACTTCATTTCTTGTTCAATTCGCGGCTTACCCAAGCACAGGTGGTCCTTGACTTACAACAGTTCATTTAGTGACCGTTTGAAGTCACGGTGGCACTGAAAAAAGGAACTTACGGCTATTTTTCACACAACCGTTGCAACATCCCCATGGCCACATGATCAAAATTCAGACATTTGACAACTCATATTTATGACAGTTGCTATGGCCCTGGGGTCACAGGATCACGTTTTGCAACCTTCTTACAAGCAAAGTCAATGGGGAAGCCAGATTCATTTAACAACCGTGTCACTAACTTAACCATGGCAGTGAGTCCCTTAACAGCTGTGGCAAGAAATGGGGGCAAAGCTCACTTAACTATCTTGCTTAGCAACAGAAATTTTGGTCTCAGTTGTGGTCGTAAGTTGAGGACTACCTGTAGCTTCTTCAGTCTGAGCAGGTTGGTTAGGAAGGCCCCATACATATATCCTCCAGGGTTGTTTCATTTCTCACCTAATCTGAATAGGCCAGGAGTAGGCAACCTTGGCTCTTTTATGACTCGTGGACTTCAACTCCCAGAATTCCTGAGCCAGCCATGCTGAGGGGAAAGGGAGAGGTTTCCAAGCTGAGCCAAGCTAGCTGAGGAATTGTGGGAGTTGAAGTCCACGAGTCATAAAAGAGCCAAGGTTGCCTACCCCTGGAATAGGTTCTTTAAGTGAGGAGGCAGAGAGGTTTTTTTTCTTTTAATGACCCTGTAATCCCTTGCATTGGGGTGGAGTCAGGGCGACTGAACGGAGCTTGAGCATTTACTGGCCGGATGCCCTTCCTGACACCTACACAGAGTTCATAGCAGACAATTACTCATTGTGCTCAGATAGAGAAACGTATGCCACTATCTAGGACAGGGCTGTCAAACTACCGGATGCGTCACAAAGAAACCACACCCACCCCATTGCCGGCAATGGGGGAAAAGTTCCGATACGTCGCGTGACGTCACGTGATGTCGCAAGTTTGACGTGTCTGATCTAGGATCACCTCTAGGTCACTATGCCGCTCTAAGTGAGTAGGCACAGAGTGTTGTTGTTAGTTGCGAAGTTGTGTCCGACCCATCGCGACCCCATGGACAACGTTCCTCCAGGCCTTCCTGTCCTCCACCATCTTCTGGAATTCATTTAAGCTCACGCCTCCTGCTTCAGTGACTCCATCCAGCCACCTCATTCTCTGTCGTCCCCTTCTTCTATTGCTCTCAATCTTTCCCAGCATTAGGCTCTTCTCCAGTGAGTCCTTCCTTCTCATTAGGTGGCCAAAGTACTTGAGTTTCAACTTCAGGATCTGGCCTTCTAAAGAGCAATCAGGCAGAGAGTAGCTGCTCCTAAATCCTTTCTCCTAGGTGGGTCCTTAAATGTGGCCTCCCTGGTGAACCTGTAAAGTGGTCTTGATCTTCCTGGGGACTGCTGCGAGAGCAGCATAAAAAAAATGGAGGACAGGTAGTATCTGAAGCCTCCATTTCTATTGAGGGAAAAATATTCCATTTTGGCATAAATGGATTCCTCCATTCCTTACCATAAATGTTTTCATAAACGCGAACTTTTAATTTGTGCAACTTTTTCCCCCCATCATCAAGCTTCACAGACTGCTGCTGGCATACACCCACAAAATATTTGACTTGTGCAAGCTTTGTAAGCCACCGATAAGGAGATTTGAAACAGCAATAGGATGATCATTGTTTTTGATTCCATTTTTTAAAAAGAAATCAGATGCTTAAGGGAGTTCAGACATTCGCTAGTCTTTGCATTAAATGGATGGGCCTCGGGATCAACAATGATCAGGATACTGTGTCAAACTGCCAGGAGAGAGATAAGAAGTGGAGGAAAATGGAATTGTGTGCTTTCTACTCTGTGACCAGTTACAAACACAGATTTAGGTGAATTCTGTCACCTAGATTTGACCTGGGAAGTGCAGACTTGTTTTATCTCTGGGTCAGGGAGGAGTTCAACTTAAAAGGAGACTCAGTTCATTGGACTGCAGGCCTTTAAAAATGTATTTTTAACAGAAAAGTGAAATCTCTAACTAGCCAGACCTATGTGAGCCAAAACATTTCCTTTTAATCTCACAGGAAAGCAGTGTCTTTTTATAGTGGTGTCTGTTGTGTTTGGGTGAACATAAGCACATTTCATCCTTA